CTATTTCGCGTTCATTCCTGCAGCCTTCAACAGTTTTAAAGAATGAACGCATATGAGGAAGAAGGCAGGAAATACGAACGACGGCACGAATCACGAGAGCATGGCATGAGAGGCTGATACACATATGCTTTTGATAGAATTTTGTGCAAATGTTCTGCTCTTAAAGTTTGAGGAACAACTTATTTCTCGCGTCATTATATTGTCTTGCCGGAACAGTGTCATTTGAACGAAATATTATGAACTTTGCCAAGTGTGCATAAAAAATTAAGACTTTAACTGAAGCATACTAACGTGTGATGAATTTTCCCTCTCATTCTGAAAATATCATTGCATTGTCTTTTTTCTGTGAAATACTGAGAACCAATCTGTAATATTCAGAAACTTAGTTCAGTAAACATGGTATGATTTTTTCATTACCGTATTTACTCGCATAATCTTTGCACTTTTTTGTGTGGAAAACCGATGCAAAGTTGGGTGGTGCGAGAATTAAGCGGGGAAAACTTTTCAAGAAAACGTAGAGAGCAAAAAAGAAAACCAAGTGGCTGCAAGTCGGGATTATCACGCGAGAACAATAAAAACACAGGTTCAACACAAGGCAACATTTATTTGAGTCACAAAAGGCGCAATGAAATAGCCGAGAATTAGAATACCGTACGCAAAGCTTGCGGGCGTAGCGGTAGCATTCGTCGCTCAACAGGGGCCCTCAAAAGCTAAGCGAAGAACATCAGTATTGGGCTGATGGCCATTTAACAGAATCGTCTGCAGTTACCTTCTAAAGAAAGAAAGTTTACCATCAATCCCAGTCTTAGCCACACAGAAGGCCCAACACGTCTTGGTGGCTTTCAGGTAATGTCACTAGTAGCGAACACAAGACTCTTCTACTCCAAAAGGCCTACCGGCGGCCCTGTTGCCGTTAGTTAGTGCATGATCAATCACTTTCAACTTGAAAGCAGCCGTGTAGCTTTCGTATCGCCACATAACATAACAAGATTACAGACACAACATATAAATCATGCCACAATGCGCTTGCCACTTTGACTTGAATCGGATTGGATTGAATTTTGGTGCAATCATAGTATGCTCTATGCTTAATAGATGGTGCCAAACGGCACACGCCATCATCTTCAGTGGCTGCAATGAGCAGACAACATTATTGTGGCAAATTTTGGGGGTGCGATAATTACTTGAGGAAAAAAAAAGATCTTATTTTTGTTGGACGATGTCGGGGGTGCGAGAATCATGTGAGTGCGAGGATTACAGGAGTAAATACAGTATCAAAAATGTTTGCGTACGGGTGAACTGAACTTACAAATAGTTAATACATTTGTGAGAACAAGCTAACACTATCTATTTTATTATGAAAGCCTTTCTACATACACAAAAAAATTTAATGTTCCGCCCTTTAGTTTTTCTTCAAGCAACAGTGCCCTGTTCACTGAGTGGCTGTTTCTGCCACTGTGGTCGCGTCAGTGCCCTGAAGAGAAATGACGTTGATTATAATGTTTGGTCGGTTAAAAATGGTTCATTCTCTGCCCACCTAAACAGAAACAGAATGAGTAGTTCATCTGTGAGTACAATAATAAAAGACAAGATACGATGTGCTACCAATCCCGCCCTGCGCAGCCTACGCGAATGCGTCACGAACGCGCTCCAAAGAATGCAGCGTCCCCTGCGCATGCATCAGCGGCATAGACACGGCTTTGCATGGGTACGGCGTGGAGACATCTGACTAGCCTGTATATTCTAGGAACCACACCGGTACTATGGTCCCTAGAATATACTGGCTAGTCTGCCGTCTTCGCTCTCCGCTGCTGCTGCTCGGTGATGCATGTGGTGATGGCGCTGTACGCTATTGGAGTTTCTTGAGCAGACACCCCTTCCGAGACTCCCGCCTACGGACGGGCTGGCGTAGCCCTTTGCAACTGCGGTTTGGTGTTTGCATGCTTTTCCAAGTCAAAGTTTTGCAGTGTTTGTTATTGCAAAGGGTGATAATGTGCACAATTAGTGGTGCTGTTTACACCTTGGGCACTCACCTTTTCAATTCTTGATTGGCTTTCAATCAGGACTAACAGTAAATAAATGAATTTGTTTCTGCTTTCTTACGCAAAACTGTGTTGCCGTCGCTTGTTGCAGAAACACCTTGGGCTCTTCCTCAGTGGTTTAGCTCTCATATCTTTTTGTTATGCATGCTTACCTTCTTTAATTATTTAATGATGACGTGTGCGCTTGCAAAATGGAACCTTTACCGGAACCTCAACACGATAAGTGAACAGAAAGGCAAAATGGAGGACAAGTCCGTTATGTTTGTTCATCTTTCAGGAAATGAAAATGATTTATAGTATCTTGTAGGGGCACGTACAGCATGAATTAAGAAGCTGTCTCTATACTTCAATAAAATCAAATGTAGCAAGGAAATATTTGCAGTGCGAGACAAGTGAGGTGGGCGAGCGGTCAATGGATGACACCGAGTGGCACATGTTGTTAACCATTTGTTTTTAATTGTGCCACGAATGTGTCCTTCATGAGCACGTGAAACAGTGATGAAGAAAAAAGCATGTGCAGTTGTACATTCAACTTTCTGTGTCGGGTACGATTGAAAAGATTGAAATTACCATCCACCGTTTGAACAAATAATACCTACTTCGCACCTATTATCCCATTCCTGCAGCCTTCAACAGTTTTAAAGAATGAACGCAGATGAGGAAAAAGGTAGAAAATACAAACGACAGCACGAATCACGAGAGCATGGCATGAAAGGCTGAAACACATATGCTTCTGATAGCATTTTGTGCGAATGTTCTGCTCTTAAAGTTTGAGGAGCAACTTATTTCTCACGTCATTATATTGTCTAGCTGTAAATAGTATCATTTGAATGAAATATATGAACTTTGCTTACTGTGCCTAAAAAAATAAAAAGACTTTAACTGAAGCATACTAACGTGTGTGATGAATTTTTCCTCTTATTCTGAAAATATCATTGTATTTTCTCTGTGACCCACCGAGAACCAATCTGTATTATTCAGAGACTTAGCGCAGCAAACATGGTATGATGTTTTCATTCTCAGAAATGTTTGCGTACGGGCAGGAAAACTGAGCTTACAAATAGTTCTTATGTTTGTGAGAATGAGTTAACAGTATTTATACTATAATAGAAGCCTTTCTAAATGCAAAAAATTAGTATTCTGCCCTTTAGTTTTTCTTCAAGCAACCACGTCTTGTTCGATTAGTGGCTGCTTCCGCCACAGTGATCATGTCAGTGTCCTGAAAAGAAATGACGTTGAATGTAACGTTTGGTCGGTTAAAGACGGTTCAGTCTCTGCCCATTCAAACAGAAACAGAATGAGTAGTTCATCCAGGAGTAAAATAATAAAAGACAAAGCACGATGCGCCACTGATTTTCCCCTGCTCAGCCTACGCGAATGCGCCACGAACGTGCTCCGATTAACTGCAGTGCCCCCTGCGCACGCATCAGTGGAATGTACATGGCCTTGCATGGGGACGGCGCGGAGACGGCAGACTAGCCAGTAAATTCAAAGGACCATACTGATATACCGAGTTGAATCAGCAATAAAACTAGTTGGTATTGAGACCCTTGGACACGCTTCGTCTCTGCGTCACTCACGTGTACTAACATACATTTAGCTGCGCTTGTACTGTAACATAAGAGTGTTGGCTTTCAAAGCGTCAGTCAGGTCATGCAAAATACTCTGACATGCTGTGTCACTATTGAATCACCCTCACACTAAATTGTGGGTTCGAACCCGACCGCGGCAGTTGCATTTTAGTGGAGGCGAAATGGTTGAGGCCTGTGTGCTGTGTGATGTTAGTGCATGTTAAAAAACACCAGATTGTCAAAACTGCCGGAGCCTTCCACTACGGGGTCTCCGAATCATATAGTGGTTTTGGGACGTAAAACCTTAGATACTATTATTATATTAACACACTATTTAATTCAGTCTTCTAAAGCTTCAATCTTGCATCCACTACTGAGATAAGTATCTGTGTGCTTGCTATGCTATTGTGGTGTTCATTTTAGGGGAAATTGCGGAGAGCACATGACATCGCGATGCGGCCAGCGCTGCAGTCGCGCGCAAGCAGCAGCTTGCGCATGCACAGACACTTGAAAGGCATAATGTTTAACCGCATTGTCTGCTACGGAGGGCATGCGGCTCCAGCGCTGTCCCCCCTGCATGCAGTGTGCTCTGAGGTTTCCTTTAAGTGTGAAACAGACTACACATGCACTAGTATTGGCAAAAAGGACAGTAAATATGCCAAGCGTTGTGAAAGGTTCCGGTCAATAAAATTTTGTGCAGCAATGAGGTGTTATGGTGGCAGAGTGCCATTTCCTATGTTTAAACGTGCCAGCATTTTGATGTAACTTGCATCTGTTAGCATACTGTCTTTTGAGCGCCAGTTTCCTCACATACCACGTTACATCTTCTTGTCTCCGCATAATAGATCATCGTGAAAGGAGCTTGAGTGCAACATTATGCCAGCCACTGCTGATGCTTTGCCTTATGGTAGAACTTATTTTTTTACGAGTACAATCAAGAAGTTGAAGAAACAGTTTTTGGTGCTTCGATCACAAAGCCTCAAAATAGACGTGTATTAGCCACTTCAGTAAAATTTTGCTACCCAATGGCAATCTTTTCGAGGCAAATTCTGTATGCATGCTTTGTTATGAAATGGTTGTTCACAGTGTTTTTTGCAGTATTATTATTTGAGAAATGACACTTTTAAGGCAAATACACCGAGTTTCAACTGTAAGCTTAGTCTAGGTCTGCTTACCCAGCTATGGGCTTATGCCAGGTCTTGGATTGAAGCCACAGATCTGAACATGGCCCTAATTTGAAACAGAGAACCTGGGTTCTAAGCTGAAAATATTGTCCCGTGCAGTGCTGTGCTGACGACATTTTAAAACTGTGCAAAAGGCACTTTCACTAGGACCGGTACCACTTTCCCTGAAATTCAAGACTGGTTTCTATTGTTAAACATTGCAGACCTTTTTGGAAATCGAGGTGCAACCACTTTTAAGTCCTCCACCTTTGGAAGTTCTATTGGCAGTAGTGCCTTCTCAGGGGGTGGCAGCTTTAGCATGGGTGGTGGAAGCGTCGCGCAGTCTGGCTTTGGAGGATTCCAAGTGCAACAGCAGCAGCAGACTCCACAAACGCCGCCAAGGACAGGTAGGTTTCTGTGTGATGCATGCTCACATGTGGAAGGGTAGTTAAAGGCCAACTCTGGCGATCTTTTGACCAAGTTGGGTACTTTTATGTTTCCAAGACACTCTTGTCATGCACTCACTAGCTGAAATGTTCAGCCAATTCGAAAACAATATTTAATAAGAAAAAATGTGCAGTACCGAAACCCAACTGAGGGGGCTGTCTATGTATGATGTGTTACTTTGTAAGAACCGGACATCCAGCAAGGCATACCAGTTCCGTCAGTGTGGAGTATAAAAATGGCAAAAGCCGCGAAAAGCAGACACTCAGCAGATAGGTGACCATGCCAACCACACTTCAACATGTCTGTGACTGATCGTGCCACATGCACAAGCTCCTCAGAGCTGTCGGGCAATGGCAGCTACGATTTGAACACATTTGCAGGTCAAGGAGCATCACTGTTTCTCTTCAATGAAGCAGAACAGATTTTATTACATGCTCACGTGGTTGCACATAATGCCGCCTGAAGGCTTGTCTAGGCTGTCCAAGTTTGTGTCTGTGGCAACGAGCTAAAATGGTTACGCCAAGAAGTTTGTTTTCAAACTAAAGCTTTTTATTATTGTCAGTTTGTAAGTTTGTGGGATGTCATATATCATTGATAAGATTGATTGATATGTTGTAAGTGTGTATTGGGTGCCACATGCAATGTGCAAATGTAATAGAATATTTCTGCATATTTGTAGGTGTATTTATCAGTATTTTCAGAAACTGTTCTTTCTGCATTAGATTACACAGACTTAACGTTAGAGTTTTTGTAGTTGGTGTCTATGAAAAAGCCTACTGAAGATTTATTTTCATATTGACTTCCTGGCAGCGTGATGTAAGCTTTGCATGCAAGTTGTAAATGCAGTTATATTAGTACCATCAATATGAATTTCTTTTTCCATGTAAAGTACTGGAATATAAACAAAGGATTTTTTGTATGAGAAATTCCTAATTGTATGTAAACCATGAAAATACTGAACTTTTTAATCCATTTGAGGATAGTAGTTTCTGTGACTAACAACTGTTACTTGAAATTTTTAAGGGCATTATATAATTGACACATTATCCTGCATTGATAACATTGTGTATCCAGTCTTGTAATATCATTTTTGAGCATATGCTTAGTTTTTATTGAAATTCAATCCATGGTCCAAAAGTTACTTCATTAATTGCATTCCCCTATACGATTTTAATGAAAAAGGCACGTCCTCCTAAGCGAAAACTCGACTTCTTTTTTTAACTCCATTTTTTTATTTTTTAGAAATAAAAAACAAGAGTGTACTTTCTGGTGACATTTACCAGCTAAGCCTGCTATGAGCAGCTGGACACTTTGGCCATGGGAACTTTTAGAGGTAGCAAGACTAACAGACGTTGTTGAAGGTAAATAAGAAAAGTACAAACAAAACATGTTACTACAGTTGCTTCATGCAATATATTGTACTTGCATTATTTATTGATATGACATAAATTCACAATCAGTTATATGACATAAATCCATAAGCACCAGGTGAAGCAAAGCACAACACTCTAAATGAATAACTGTACAGTACATAAGTATTAACGATGTTATTCCATATTTGTGAAACACAGCCTTTGATCTTTAAATTTGTTACATGCTCGTAGATTGATTTATTGCACGTACTGAATTGCAGCATAACGTTTGGAGCTTATTATTATTTTTAGACCTCACACATGCACACACGCATGCTGGCACGTACGCACACACACACGAACGGAAGACCTTGGAACATGCCACTGTAGTGTCTGTTTCCATGTCCTGAGGCAATTGTGGTGTTAGAATTGGTCTCGCTACATTTCATGCCTGCTAAAATTTTGTAGCACGACCCTTTTTTTTTTTTTTAATGTTGTCTGAATTGCTCTCATCCTGTGTGCTCAGCCGCCTTTGGAGGCCCGCCAGCATTTGGCGGCAGCCCTACATTTGGTGGACCTCCGCAGTTTGGTGGATCGCCGACATTTGGTGGCAGCCCGTCATTTGGTGGTGCAGCCACATTTGGAGCTGCATCTGCACCGCAGCCCCAGCAATCGCCTCCAACACAGCAATCTGGTTTCATGATGTGAGTCGTGATCTTGCTTTTTGTATTTCATGTTGTATCATGCATTTTGTAGACAACCAGGGTAGCACTTTCATCATCATCATCATCAGCCTGACTACGTCCGCTGCAGGACAAAGGCCTTTCCCATGTTCCGCCAGTCAACTCGGTCCTGTGCTTGCTGCTGCCATTTTATACCCGCAAACTTCTTAATCTCATTTGTCCCCCTAACCTTCAGTCTCCCCTAACCCGCTTGCCTTCTCTGAGAATCTAGTTAGTTACCCTTAATGACCAGCCCCTGTAGCAAAGGACGTGCCCATTCTGTAGCACCGTATAGGCCTCATCTGTCCTCCTAACCTCACTGAGCCCTATTATATCCCATTTAACACCCTCTAGCTCCTCGAATAGTACAGCTAGACTCCCCTCACTAGATAAGGTTCTAGCATTAAACGTTGCCAAGTTCAGGTTCCAATGGCGGCCTGTCCGGATCCAGAGATTCTTAGCACCCTCTGCTGCGTTGCAGATCTGACCGCCGCCATGGTCCGTTGCTTCGCAGCTGCTGGGGACTGAGGGCCGTGAGTTATTTGACGTAAGCATGTGGGAGGTAGTGGCCAGATACTGCACCAGGGTGGCCAATCCTTCTCTGGTGAGGGAGTGCGTTCTCGGCGGTGTTTGCCGGTGAGGCCGCACCCCAGGCCTCTTAACCCACTCTTAAGGTTACACCTACCATTTTTCTTTCCATTGCTCGCTGCGTCGTCCTGAATTTAAGCTGAACCCTCTTTGTTAGTCTCCAGGTTTCTGCGCCGTAGCTAAGTACCGGCAAGATACAGCTGTTATATACCTTCCTCTTGAGGGATAGAGGCAATCTACCTGCCATAATTTGAGAGTGCTTGCCATGTGCTCCACCCCATTCTTATTCTTCTAGTTACTTTAATCTCGTGGTTCGGCTCCGCGGTTATTATCTGCCCTAAGTAGACATAGTTTTTTACAACTTGAAGTGCACTATTACCTGTCTCGAAGCGCTGCTCTTTTCTGAGGTTGTTTTACATTACTTTCGTTTTCTGCAGATTAATTTTAAGACCCACCTTTCTGCTCTCCTTATCTAATTTCGTAATCATGAGTTGCAATTCGTCCCCTGAGTTACTCAGCAATGCTATGTCATCGGCGAAGCGCAGGTTACTAAGGTACTCTCCATTAACTCTTATCCTTAACTGTTCCCATTCATGGCCTCTGAAAACCTCCTGTAAGCACGCGGTAAATAGCATTGGCGAGATTGTATCCCCCTGCCTTACACCTTTCTTGATTGGTATTCTGTTCTTTCTTTATGAAGCACTATGGTAGGTGTTGATTCCCTGTAGATTTCTTCCAGGATGTTTATATATGCTTTATCGACGCCCTGATTCCGCAGTGTCTGCATGACGGCTGATATTTCTACTTAATCAAACGCCTTCTCGTAATCTATGAAGGCTATGTATAGTGGTTGGCTATATTCTGAGCATTTCTCTATTACCTGATTGATAGTATGAATGTGGTCGATTGTTGAGTAGCCTGTTCGAAATCCTGCTTGTTCCTTTGGTTGATTGAATTCTAAAGTTTTCTTTACTCTGTTAGCAATTACCTTTGTAAATAGCTTGTATACTACAGAGAGCAAGCTGATCGGCCTGTAATTCTTCAAGTCCTTGTCATCTCCTTTCTTATGAATTAAGATGATGTTAGCGTTCTTCCAGGACTCTGGTACTCTTCCCATCAGTAGACACTTCGTAAACAGGGTCGCTAGTTTTTCTAACACAATCTGTCCTCCATCTTCCAGCAGATCTGATGTTACCTGATCCTCACCAGCAGCTTTGCCTCTTTGCATGCTCTCCAAGGCTTTTCTGACTGCTATCATTACTAGTGGGGTGTCATCTGGGTTACTGCTAGTTCTTATAATATTAAGGTCGTGGTTGTCCCGGCTACTGTACAGATCTCTGTAAAACTTCTCTGCTATTTTAACTATCCTATCTGTATTGGTAGTTATTTTGCCTTCTCTGTCCCTCAGTTCATACATCCGACTTTTGCCTATCCCAAGTTTCCTCTTCACTGCTTTGACGCTTCCTCCGTTTTTCAGAGCGTGTTCAATTCTCTCCATGTTATACCTTCCTACATCACATACTTTATGTCTATTAATCAACTTCGAAAGCTCTGCCAGTTCTATTTTGTCTGTTGTACTTGACACTTTCATGATTTGACGCTTCTTGATTAGGTCCTTTGTTTCCTGGGAAAGCTTGCCAGTGTCCTGTCTAACTACCCTGCCTCCAACTTCCACTGCACACTCCGTAATGATACTCGTCAGATTATCATTCATTGTATCTGCGCTAAGGTTGGTTTCCTCACTAAGAGCCGAGTACCTGTTCTGCAGCGACACTGAATTCCTGTACTTTCCCTCTCAGTGCTAGCTCATTGATTGGCTTCTTGCGTATCAGTTTCTGTCGTTCCTTCTTCAAGTCTAGGCGAATTCGAGACCGTACCATTCTATGGTCACTGCATCGTACCTTGCCAACCACTTCCACATCCTGCACGATTCCTGGGTGTGTAGTCATTATAAAGTTTATTTCGTTCTTATTTTCGCCATTAGGGCTCCTCCATGTCCACTTGCGGTTTTCTCGTTTTCGGTAGAAGGTATTCAAAATCCGCAAATTATTGCGTTCTGCGAATTCTACTAGCAGCTCTCCTCTGGCATTTCTAGTACCGATGCCATAATATCCTACTGCTTGATCTCCGGCCTGCTTCTTCCCTACCTTTGCGTTAAAGTCTCTCCCATCAGTATAGTATATTGTGTTTTTGCCTTACTCATTGCGGATTCCATGTCTTCGTAGAAGCTTTCAACTGAGGCGTCGTCATGGCTGGATGTAGGCACGTAAGCCTGTACCACCTTCGTCTTATATCTCTTATTAAGTTTAATTACGGTACCTACCACCCTTTCATTAATGCTATAGTATTTCTCTATGTTGCCAGCTATGTTTCTGTGAAATAGGAACTCCACTCCCAGTTCTCCTCTGTCAGCCAAGCCCCGATAGCAAAAGACGTGTTCATTCTCTACCACCGTATAAGCCTCATCTGTCCTTCAAACCTCACTAAGCCCTATTATATCCCATTTAACACCCTTTAGCTCCTCGAATAGTACAGCTAGACTTGCCTCACTAAATAAGCTTCTAGCGTTAAACGTTGCCAAGTTCAAGTTCCGATGGCGGCCTGTCCGGATTCAGAGATTCTTAGCACCCTCTAAGAGCTTTTTAGGTGGCTCCAGAGAACACATAAGCCAAACATTGTAGTGCAGCACATGGCCTCAAATTCACAATTGATTCTCAAGATCAGCTAGAAATCCTTCCCTCTTCTTTCATAAAATGATGCCATATATATATATATATATATATATATATATATATATATATATAGGCCATTGAGAGCTGAGTTACTGTGATCGCTGCATGCTGAAGATCCTGGGTCTGAACTGAGCTACATCGCCCTCTTGGATTCAGTTGACGCTCTGGACCACCTGCATGAATACAAGCCATGTTTCAGCACCAGCAATGTTGTGAAATGATTAGTTTTCTGGGTGTAACAGAAAGACGTATGTTTATTGCCGATGCTGAATAGGAACTGCCCTCAACCATGTGCACGTTCACCCCTCAACCTTCTCGTCTTTATGCTAGTTCCACCCGCTCCTTGATCCATCATTCTTAGGCACTTTGCAACATCCTTCGAGGTGAGCCAAGATTAATTGGATGCTTCAAGGGTGCAGAGTTTTTGCAACAGGCAATTCACGATCGAACCATTAGTGAGACACACTGAGTAAGCGTGCACTATGCCGTGTCTTCCTGACAGTGAAGTGATCACATTCCCAATCTGTAGCTTGGTTGATGAGCGACTTCAGCTGTTATGCTTTGACTGCAGTAATAGCAGGTAGGCTAGCTTCCATCGTCTGTAAAGTTCTGTAAGAAGATGCGATGGAGTCGTTGGCTCGTCGAGCTCGCTCTAAAGATACGTTAGTGGTCTGCTGTTAATCGCTGCTTTGATCTCACACAGCAGAGTTGTAAGGGCTTCCACGTCGAGGCAGCTGCGCCCCAGTTTAAGGACTTTTTCATTGAGGGAATAAGGTGCTCCAATCATCCAAGTCACAACAGAGCTATTTCTACAATTGACTTCCTATGGATTCGTAGCTCTGCCATATACTCCTGAAGCGCTGGTAGTACGGATGCAAATGTTTTACCTGGGACGCAAAGGTTTAAACCTGGGAAGCTGAAGGCCATGACGTAACTCCTTTCCCTCATGCCATCTCTCCCTGCTCAGCTTCTAGTGCACTCATCGAGACGATAGAAGAGACGCAGCAAATATGTACAGTGTGTGTGTGACAAATCTCCGTTACTCCACTGACACTCGACAAGTTCTAAAAGTTTTGTGGCGGTCAATACGTGAGGCAATTAACTCTTTGATGGAACTCATTCGATGGTTACTGAGAAAAGTGTTGCAGGACCCCTTTAATATGCACTTTGTTGTGTGTGTAGTTTTAGCGCGATAGTGTTTAAAAGCTCGTTTCGCAGAAATTCTGGTTTCTGCGTCGTTTGATGTGAGCGAAAAATCATCTTTGCGTGACCGGGAAATCGGGCATCTTTGCGTAACCAAACCCGGGTCGTTTGTGTGGCAAGCGGGTGTTCTACCACACAGCCATGCCTCTGCTTGTGAATACAGTGAAAATAACTTCCTCTGCTTGTAAATGCTAGAAAAGTAACTTTCATGCTTTACGAACACATGCGTCTTGTATACATGTTCCACAATGCAACATGAAATATTGTCGTAATAATGCGTGGTACAAGCGTACATTGCCATCAGGCGTCAGAACACGAGATTATCATAATGACTTCATAGTTTAAAGCCAGTCACCCACTACAGAGAAAGGAAGAGAGATATGGTATGAAGAAAGGCAGGGAGGTTAACCGGAAAGCAAGTATCTGGTTTGCTACCCAGCACTGGTGAAGGGGAAACAG